CTCCTCGTACTCCGCCTGCGCCTTCTCCTCGGACCCGATCTGCGCCAGGAACACTGCCCGGTGGATGCTGCTCTCGTTCTGTTCCAGCTCACCGTGCTCCTCCTTTGCCTCCTCAATGTTCTTGTCGAGAGATGCCAGCTCGGCCGTGTATGCAGCCTCCAGCTCCTTCACCAGAGCCGCATCCTCTGGCAGCGCATTCTCTGCCACTAGCTTCTTATAGAATGCCACCATCTTGTCGGCCTTGATGCCCTCGATAAGTGCCTGCGCATGCTCCTGGCGCTGCTCTGGTGCGCTGTTCAGCAGTGCGAATCTGTGTTGCGCAAGCGACAGCTCTGGCTTTTTGGCGAATACAGCAGTTTCCTCCGACATTGCTCAGTAACAAAATGCAATAGAAAACCCAATTGTTGTGTGGTAGTGTATAATTTGGCAGCGTATAATAAGAAGAGAGCCGAATTGTGTAGTTAAAGAGACAAGAGCCAAGTTCTCCAAAAGCCCACACGCGTGTATTGCGTCACAGATCTGCTGGCTGATCGCGGATCAAGACTGTCCACGCAATGCCTCGCTGAGCCGCTTTCCCTCGCACCGAGCGTGTTGACGACTACGACAACGACTAGCCAAATGCGCGGCCTCCTCTTCTCCTTGCAATCCCACCTATATTCTCCTTTTTGCACCAGCAGAGATTTTACTAATTAGCTGATTTTAACGCCAGACAAAAAACGAACAGACATGGCAGCACAGTTGGAGCAGGCGCAGAATTTGGCCAAGGAGTCACCACAGCAGGCAGCGGCCCTGTTCAGCTCTGTCCTCTTCGCAGACAAGTCGAGTGCGGTAACAGTGGCTGAGCGAGAGACTGCGCTGCTGTCGCTGGCGGCCCTTTTTGAGCAGATGCAGGACGCGGCGGCGCTGACCAAACTGATCAACGACTCGCAGTCCTACCTGGTGTCGGTGTCGAAAGCCAAATCCTCAAAGATCATCCGCACCCTGGTCGACCGGTTTTCGGGTATCCAGGGCGGCCAGCAGCCGCAGATAATGACATGCCAGAGCATGATTGCGTGGGCAAAGGATGAGAACCGCGAGTACCTGCGCCAGGCCCTGGAGACCCGCCTGGCGTCGCTGTACCTGGACAACCAGATGTACACCGAGGCACTGGCGCTCATTGCACAGCTTCTGGCCGAGCTCAAGAAGCTGGACGACAAGATGCAGCTGGTCGAGGTGCATCTGCTGGAGAGCCGCGTGTATATGGCCCTGAAGAACCTGGCCAAGTCGCGTGCTGCGTTGACGTCCGCGCGCACGTCAGCCAACAGCATCTACACCCCGCCGCCACTCCAGGCGCAGCTCGATCTGCAGTCAGGCATTCTGCATGCCGAGGAGGGCGACTTTAAGACTGCGTACTCGTATTTCTTTGAAACCATGGAAGGTTTGGCCGTGTATGTATCGCCCAAGGACGTAGCCACGTCGTCAAAGGACAACAACTCGCTTCAGACTGGCCTGTCCGCCGCTGAGGTCGAGACGCGGCAGCTGCAGGCATTTGCGTATATGATTCTGTGCAAGATCATGCTGCAGCAGCCCGATGAACTGGCCGCGCTGCTGGCTACCGGAAAGACCGCGTCAAAGTTCCGCGACCGCCAGGTGGTTGTGGCACTGCAGGCTGTGGCCAAGGCACAGAAGCAGCGGTCGCTTGCCGACTTTGAGAAGGCCCTGTCCACCTTCCGCAACGAGCTGCAATCGGATGAGCTGATTCGCACCCATCTGACCACGCTCTACGACACCTTGATGGAGCAGAACCTCGTGCGCCTAATTGAGCCGTATTCGAAGGTCGAGATTGCACACATTTCGGAGCTGATTGGCCTGCCCATCCGCGTGGTTGAGAAGAAGCTGAGCCAGATGATCCTCGACAAGGTCTTCCACGGTATCCTGGACCAGGGCAATGGCTGCCTTGTTATCTTCGAGGAGCCCAAGCGTGACCTCACGTATGATGCCACCCTCGACACCATCAAGAGTCTTGGTCTGGTCGTTGAGTCGCTGTACGAGAAGGCATCGGCGCTCTGAGCACGATAATACACACATTCTACCATTTCCAAGTCTTTTAAAAATGTGACCTCGTTTACACTGGTTTATGAGCCTGTGCAACCCCATGTGTGGCGCTCTCACCATGTAGGCCTTATTGCTCCAGCGAAGTTTGTCCATGCATTATCGCCACCATTGAATTGAGCACATTTGCCATACATAGGTGCTGGATAGCCTCTCTCACAGCAGTATACATAAGAAGAAGCAAGTGGTAGTTTATTGCACGATGTAGCAGTGGGGAGTTTTGCATTTTTCTTGCGTTTTCTGCCCTATACTTTTCCAGCTCTACTAGGACTACCCTCCTAATTCATCTACTCCTCAACGACTACAGCCTGGGTTTTCTTAGCCGCGGATGAAGCTTGCAAGCGCAGCAGTCGCACTCTGCTTGCCAGTAGTACCTGCGAAAGACACCGGTAGTAAGCCTAAATCGTACATACCGCTTGGACCTGTCACCAAAGCGTACACAGTACTTGAAAAGCAGAGCCATGACCTGAAATCAGCATTCAAGACATTTGCATAGTAAGTATGTGATACGTGAGTCAGCCATTAGCTTGAATTATTCCTGACTGTCAATGTACGCGTAGTTACTCGCACGCTGCATACACAGTTGGGTCTCTGTGGAACTGCAAGGGCAGCTGCGAGACGCCAGAGACACACGGAACCGAGATCGAGTACAGATGGCGCAGTCAAGCACCAATAAGCGTCGGGTATATCGGACGCAACTCCAACTCCAAACTCCTGGTAATATCATTCCGGGGCACTAAAGACACCGACGACTGGATCCAAGATGCCGAGTTCGTGCAGGACCCCTGGCCACCACACTTCCCAGGCTCTCTCGTACACCATGGATTTCTCAGCTCCTATCTGTCTGTCGCGCACAATGTCACATCGGAGATTACCAGGCTCGCCCAGATGTACCCTGATCATCGGATTGTGTTCACTGGGCACTCGCTCGGCGGCGCCGAGACAGTGATGTGTGCTGTAGATTTACTGAACCGGAGACCTGACTTGAAGCCGAGAATGCATATCTACACATACGGGCAGCCGAGAATCGGCAATGACGAGTGGGCAAGCAGGGTCGACAAATTGAAACTGCCGATTTTCCGGATGGTATACGAATGTGACATGGTTCCACACATCCCGTTCCGCTGGCTCAACTACAGGCACTTTTCAGAAGAAGTGTGGGTCCACAATAGCCAGATACTGTTTTGCGGCAGGAATGGGGAGAATACAAAGTGCTCCGACCTAGTGCCAATTGGAAACTACAGTATTCCTGACCACTCGCGTTATCCAGAAACAGACTGGTTTGGCGAATCCGAATACATTAAGGCGTATATCACTCACTAGAAAATGGAAATAACACCTCCACTATATCTTTACCTATATATAAGATTTTATAGTCCAAGAAGTGTCGGACCGTCCACTAGAGCATTTATCATTGACTGAAAAGATTCAGGCTGTTTTGAGCCTCACAGTGAGTATGCGTGACTCGCTCAGTAAACTCTTAAAACAACATTCTCTCTTTTGGTCGATAGATTCAGATCCTAGGGTTACAAATATACATCTTCAAAGCATTGGTAAAATCGGACCTGGAGCCATATATTACAAACGCTATTCGTCTTAGCTCCTTCACATTTTGATGGTCCACCAGTCAAATAAATTACCAGTTCGCCATGATGCTTTTATCGGCGTGTCAAACAATGCCGACTAGCAGCCGAGTTTGCATTGCGAGTGGAGTAATTCTAGTGAGTCGTAGTTTTAGCTACATTTTCCATATCTCTTTCCATTCCTTCCTTCCATCTTTGAAGTTTAACTTGCTCCAATTTCTTTTAACACCCACACGCCTACCCATGTAGCAGCACAAGGTACACGGGTATAGAGGCACAAAAAGTTATAGGCAAGTGTATTGCAAAACAGAAACAAAGGCGCACCTGTTAGCAGCTATTGAAACCGAACAGCGGTCGGCTCAGGCTATCGCGATACTCACCGTATACCGATCTATCAATTCCCCCCTTATATGAACTCAGCACTCCATGGGCATTCTCCACAGCGACCATCCTGAGGGAAGGCAGCTTCGAAATAGCGACGATCGTCAGCGAATTGACAGCCCACCAGCTCTCCAAATCAATCTGTACCAAACTAGTACTAAAGATCGGGAGTCCCCTCATCAGTCTAACTACTTTCTCCATCCTATATATTGATTCAATATCCTTCGTTGGATCCGACCTCTTCGATTCCAATCCTAGTGGGCATCGAGAAATGGGTCATGATCTGCTGGAACTCGCTGAAGGTAGACATGAAATCTTTTTATGATTAGATGACGAAACCGCGGGTTTGAATGGTTTAGCGGGATGATAGACGGCAGAGACTGACCGAAGCTGTACGGGTTGTAGCGGTTCTCTATATGCTCGGCATTTGGTGCAATCAAAAATGGCATATGTGCAACCTCAGACTCAATAAGCAAGTTGGTAACTTTGTTAACCTAGGGGATGAGTGGCCATCCGAGTATATGGAAAAAATAACTTCTCAAAATGTGACTGAGGGGAAGAAGGAGGGCTGGTCGTCTGTCTGGGCCTTTGTACGTATGCGTTTCGGCCTTGTCTATGGTGGCGCGGGGGACTCCGGACCCCGAATGTCAACAGAAGTCACTATCCTGGGATCTCACCTTCAAGAAGTTAAGAACCGCTTTGACCATAAAACAATGCTGGAAAATCCTCATATCCACAATCTCAAACCTTGCAATAGACCATAGGGTGGTATGTTCTTAATACATTACCTATGTTATATATCAGTTATCTGACAGCCCGTTTGTTGGTTTCAGGGTGCGCGTGTGAATATGTGTGGCTATATATGCTTGGGTGCTTTAGAAATTAAACTTATAGATATTTTACACAATGAATGGAAAGAGAAATCAAGGACTATGCATCTGACGCGCTAGCCTCTTGGTTCTTCCAGCACAGCAGTGGTTTATCTGTTTAATGAAGACAATGCGCTAGGAGGAAAGGCCATTGCTCGCCCTCAGAGACTCATGTCTGCGGACCCAGAGTCCACGCCAGCGCCAGGGGTTGGCACTGGTGCACCTCTGGGTATCTGGCATGCGCCGCTATACTTCCAGCACCGATATTTGTAATAATAAGATAGCCACGTATAAAAGACAGCTTACATCTGGTTCTTGTACTCGCGCAGCACGACAGGAATACTGGTGGTAGGGATCATTCCGACCTCAGTAATGATCATGGAGACAAAATCTGGAGGAGTAATGTCCTGGACGAGGTTCAGCAGGCGCAGGTTCTTTGTCTCGCGCCAGTCAGTCAGCGGGCACATGGTGCGCAGCTTGGACTCGGCCCTGGCTTCCATAGAGGCGGCAGGAGACATCATCGCAGCATTTTTGGCCTGCTTCGCCTGCTTGGCCTGCTTCGCTTGCTTCCTTGCTTGCCAGCAGCAGTTATTTCGCTGACAGACTCGTCAACAAAGGTCTTGCGGTTGTTCCAGCGCGGGCGCGCCGAGTAGCGGTCGCGGGCATATGCGCTGTACTCCATCTCTGCCAGAGACTGGTCGGTCAGCGCAT